AAAAGGCTGTAAAAACACCAGCAAATCAGCTCCAAGTTAGTTAAATTTTGGAAATCTATTCCAAAGTAATCCTACACATAATAGTGATATACAGTGCATTCTGAAAGTATTCCGACCCCTTGACTTTTTCCACATTTTGTTATGTTACAGCCTTATTCTAAAATTGATTAAATTAATCTACACACAATACCCATAATGACAAAGCAAAAACAGGTTTTTAGAAATGTTTGCAAATGTATTACAAATAAAACTGAAATATGACATTTGCATAAGTATTCAGACCCTTTACTCAGTACTTTGTTTAAGCACCTTTCGCAGCGATTACAGCCTCGAGTCTTCTTGAGTATGACGCTACAAGCTTGGCACACCTGTACTTGGGGAGTTTCTCCCATTCTTCTCTGCAGATCCTCTCAAGCTCTGTCAGGTTGGATGGGGAGCATCGCTGCACAGCTATTTTCAGGTCTCTCCAGAGCTGTTCGATTGGGTTCAAGTCCGGGCTCTGGCTGGGCCACTCAAGGACATTGAGACTTGTCCCGAAGCCACTCCTGCATTGTCTTGGCTGTGTACTTAGGGTCATTGTCCTGTTCGCCCAGTCTGAGGTCCTGAGCACTCTGGAGCAGGTTTTCATCAAGAATCTCTCTGTACTTTGCCCCGTTCATCTTTCCCTCGATCCTGACTAGTCTCCCAGGCCCTGCCGCTGAAAAACATCCCCACAGCATGATGCTGCCACCACCATGCTTCACCATAGGGATGGTGCCAGGTTTCCTTCAGACGTGACGCTTGGCATTCAGGCCAAAGAGTTCAATCTTGGTTTCATCAGACCAGAGAATGCTGTTTCTCATGGTCTGAGAGTCCTTTAGGTGCATTTTGGCAAACTCCAAGCGAGCTGTCATGTGCCTTTTACTGAGGAGTGGCTTCTGTCTGGCCACTCTACCATAAAGATCTTATTGGTGAAGTGATGCATAGATGGTTGTCCTTCTGGAAGGTTCTCACATTTCCACAGAGGTACTCTGGAGCTCTGTCAGAGTGACCATCGGGTTCTTGGTCACCTCCCTGACCAAGGCTCTTCTCCCCCGATTGCTCAGTTTGGCCGGCGGCCAGATCTAGAAAGAGTCTTGGTGGTTCCAAACGTCTTCCATTTAAGAATGATGGAGGCCACTGTGTTCTTGGGGACCTTTAATGCTGCAGACATTTTTTGGTACCCTTCCCCATATCTGTGCCTCGACACAATCCTGTCTCTGAGTTCTATGGACAATTACTTCGACCTCATGGCTTGGTTTTTGCTCTGACATTCACTGTCAACTGGTGTGTGTGTGTGTGCCTTTCCAAATCATGTCCAATCAATTGAATTTACCACATCTCAAGGATGATCAATGGAAACAGGAGGCACCTGAGCTCAATTTCGACTCTCATAGCAAAGGGTCTGAATACTTATGTAAATCATGTATTTCTGTTTTTTTGTTTTTAATGCATTTGCAAAAATTACAAAAACTTTTCGCTTTATCATTATGTTAAACCATTTTAGAATTAGGCTGTAAAGTAACAAAATGTAGAAAATGTCAAGGGGTCGGAATACTTTCCGAATGCACTGTATGTGATCATATACAAATGTAAGCCAGGTTTGAAATGACTGTTTTAGTCAAATATTATAGCTGTTTCTTGTTGTCAATTTGCAGTCTACAATTATTTGTAATTATGTTCCGGCCCCCTGATCATCCGGCTCAAGAAAACATTGTCCCGGAGCTGAATCTAATTGATGATCCCTGATCTATGACAACGTTTTGCATAGGCAACCTGTAACGCCCAGTAATGGATACCAAAAATCTTTGGTTATATTACATTATGTGGTGTATAGTCTGTAGCTGCTGGTAAGTAAGCTATCTTTCTAGGCACATGCAGCCAACACCCTGATCCCTTATGCTTGCTTACTTTCACATTATATGCACACATTCAGACAGGTTATAGCACAGTTAGTCAGGCCTAAAACCTCCTAGTCATAGCGAGAACAGGCTTATCTTTGTGCTAGATGGCTAGTTGGTTTTGTAACAATCCTGCTTAAATAAATAAAGACTGATAAACTCATTTCAATGGTGTGAAGCTTGTCAACTGTAAAACTAAATGTTTAGTCTTGACAGTTTAGTTTCAGCCTATGAAATCAAGAGTCCAGAACCATTAGATAGAGATGGTGCTTAAATTGTACTTAGGCACCGATCTAGGACCAGCTTACCCTCCATAAATCCTACCCATAATCATTAGGGGGGGAAACACAAAACGGACCTTATATCAGCAGCAAGCGGCAATCCTACTCCATACGAGTCAGCAGCTTGCTGTGTCATGCTCATTATGAGCACTAGATGGTGCTAGTGTACTATCTGTAAAGTTATGGCGTTCTACTCTGCTGTATGGTTCTTTATCCACATGTAAGAATAGCACTGTAATTCCGCGTTTACGTACTAGTCGGAACAAGGAAACTCTGAAATGTCCGATTTACTATTTCCGAGTTTCCTAGTTCTGACTAATACGGGAACGCGGCATAAATTACAGTACCACAAAACCCTGATGTGACATTCTATTCTCTGTTAAAGGGGTCAGTTTGCATTGCACCACAGACCTATAGTTATGTTCTGTTGAGGTTGATTAAACTAAAAGATCCCTATTTAAAATATTATATTGTGATGCCAATTTTTTTGCAACATTATGTGATTGCCTGTCTTCATTGTTTTATGGAGATGGACCGAGTCCCACTATCGTTATGCCTGTCAATTACCTGTCCTTCCTTTACTGTGCATGGAGTAGTAGAAAAGGGGATGCATTAAATGTGGATAGCTGTTGCAGGGAATAGGCTACTTACCATAGAGTAGGATAAACTATAATGGTTCATAATTGACAGACGATTGCCGTCATATAGTTTAGCGAGTCTTGTTTTTATTACTTTATAAACTTCTGTTCTTAATTACATTCTTCTCATGTTATATAGTCTGTGACGCACTTGCTATCGCTTTAGCTGTAACTGTCCTGTAGGTGGCGCATGAAGACCTTTAGTAGGCCTAATGTGTGTTCCAGACAGTGCTGTGTTCTACACAAATGTACCCTTCATTATGTTCCCAATGTTCCCAAAGGTTGGTGCTATTTATACCTTCTAAATCTGCTCTCATAGCTGAAAAACACTTGAGAGGTTTTGGCTCCCTTGACAAGCTACAGTATTTGAGGGAAAAATCAGGTAAAGATCCCGTCAATTTGGGGCCGAAGTGAATATTTAGCTTCACTAGCAGCTGGCCGGTAAACATTTTCGAACATAAAACCGCTATAAAGTTATTTAATTCACATCTGTCTGATGTGAATGCCCTAATTTAGTGGACAGGGCACTGATATAAAACTCACACAGATGTGATTGGTTATCTTGATTATTTCCTACCTAGGGCAGACAGGAAGAGATGAAGCGAGAGGATTTACTCTGCGCAAAATCGGTCCACGAAAATAAGACCACGAAGTGAGGAATTTTTGTATGGAGTTCAATGAGAGCGAACTTAAAATGGAATTGCTAATTTGCTACGTGAGGCTTATTTGGTCGAATAGAAGTTTCGCAATGGTTAGGTTGTTATGAATGCACTGATAAGTGGACGCAGGTGGCACTTCAGCAACTTTATGTCGGAGTGGTGTATTCAGTTCGCTTGAACGTTTGCTACGTTGCGGAACGTTTTGTACTGAACGACACATTTTCCCAAAACATTATTGTACGTTCTTGAACAGACTTAGGTACGTTTGCTACCGTTTGGTGGATGAGGGGAGATGTGGTTTGAACCAATGACACATGTATTTAAACGGCAGTGGCCATGCTGATAGCGTTCCTCAACCCCTCCCGGTTTTTCAACTGCTCAGTACAGCACCGTTTCCCTTCAATTGAATGTTCCAGAACGTAAAAACGTACTGAACGTGGCCCTGTTGTTCACACGCGTATCTGCCCTCTCATTGGCCAGAATACCTCATCTCGCCTCCTTCCGCCTGCATTCCATTTTTGATAATATGTATTTCCATTGTTAGAGTCGACTATCTTGTCAATATAATAGATCATCTTTGCCTAGGGTCATGGGTGCTGGGCCTCCAGATATAAATAAATAATTGGTCATTTAGCAGACGCTCTTATCCAGAGCGACTTACAGGAGCAATTAGGGTTAAGTGCCTTACTCAAGGGCACATCGACAGATTTTTCACCTAGTCGGCTCGGGGATTAGAACCAGCGACCTTTCGATTACTGGCACAACGCTCTTAACCACTAAGCTACCTGCCGCCCTTAGATGTTAGATGCCCTCTGAATGCCCTCTGGTCCTTCCTCTGGTCGTTATATTTTTACCCTCACGAAGACACACACACATGCATGGACACTCTCTATCTGATCATAATCATTATTTTCTTAGTCTCCAGAAAAGTACAGATGCACTGTGGACACATCCCAACTGTATCTAGCTCTGCGACAAGTAGTGTTCAGACAATCAATCAATCAAATGTATTTATAAAGCCCTTTTTACATCAGCAGATGTCACAAAGTGCTTATACAGAAACCCAGCCTAAAAACCCAAACAGCAAGCGATGCAGATGTAGAAACACACACTTGACACATTTACCCACATTATTTTCTATCAAATATATTTGACACAGTTCGCATCCTAATCATTCTGTCCCAGCTTGGTTCTTTGTTATATCTGCTCTGTGAGGATGAGTCTGTGTGTTAACCTGTGAGCTGTGTGCTTATATACACACACTGATACAAATTCCCTTAACAGTCTGTAACAAGGCACTTAATTGATCTAACGATGCCCATTATCATTAATTTGGTATAATGGGTGACAAAAGCTGGAGCATCATTGATAAAAATGTTCTTATGTTACGAGGTTACTGCTTTGTCTCTGTTGTATAGTTTGGTATGGCTAATAGTGTTGGTTGCTTTTATATAAGTCGATGAATGACACACGTAAACGAGTGAAGAGTCATACACAAGAAGTACGGTATATAATCTCATTTAATATTGGTTCTCTATGGAAGAAGTTTAACCATGATACATTTACAAAATATACACAAGGTAATGCATCGATCAATCAACAATAGTTATATTTCAATAATATTGGTTCAAATCAAATACTTTTTTACATGGTTTGTGCACTGGTTCCATCAGTTGCTCTCTTGTTGCGGTAAGGATGAGTGTTGGGGGTTGTAAGGATCAGTTCATGACGGGAAGACCACTGGCCCCATACAGCAGATGCACACCTTGCATCCCCCCCACACAATTGTGCACCTCTCAAACATAGAACCCCTGCTTTGTGTCTTCAATAGTGCTAACATCATACAGCAATCAACACAAACAAATGAAGTAGGAACCAGTCACAAATATTATATACAATATGTTCAACAATAGAATACCTTAATACATATATATATACATATAACCCGACAAATGTGGTCTAAAATGACCAAATATCTCCCTGATTACATCATACAAATATAATGCATCATACTCTCAATTCTTATAAATGTAAATAATACATTTTCTCATCAAATCCCAAATATTGGATTTCCAAAAAGATTAATGACGTGATTTTGAAAATAGCTTAGGTCTTTTTAACAGTGCATACACAGTCAGTTAGGGATCTAATAGTGTGTTATACATTGCTATTGCTCTGTCATATGGGTTGATTTCAGAGGTTTGTTGATGTATGGAAAGTGCTGTGTTTGAATGTGTAGAAAGAAAATGTCCCTTTCTCACGTGAAGAGGGTGTGCTTCCTTCTTGCTGGTTTTCTGTCTGTGTCTGTGGCGGGACAGGAGGACATAGTGAGGCACGGAATGAGAGGAGGAATGGAACTGTCTTTTGGTCTTCTGTCACTGAGAAATATGGGTAATGGAGGACTAAGATGAGGATTTGCTGTCTAACTCACAGCACACCAACTTGTTCAGCAGACTATAAGTCTATGAGAGATTCTACCAGCTGTGAGTATTGTTCATGAGGTCATAGTTGAAGAGACTCCCTCCTATTTTCCTCCATCTTTCTCTGAGATGCCTCTCAGTCCACTCATTCACCCTGTCCAACCCTGCTTCTGCCCCAGTCCTAGCTCCAGCAAACACAGCCCATTGAAGAGAGCCTGAGGATGACCGGCTGGTGGCTTGTGGCTGGAGTGAAAGCGTCATGAGGCTGTTCCCCAAGAGGACTGCCCCTTTCAGGGGTCCGGTAGTCAGTGGGTGCCCCTGTTGGCTGTAGTTCCACCTGGCCCTTAGGGGTCGATGCTGAAGGCCAGCAGCTTGTCGGAGTGCATGTTGTTGAGGGTGCGCAGGTCGGGCAGGCGCAGCAGCAGCTTGGGGAAGAGGGCGCTGTCGTCGGGGCTACGGCGGGTGATGAGCGAGCGCAGGGCTTTGATCAGACTCTCCTGAAGCTGCTCCACTGCAACTACGTCAGCCACACCTGAACAGTCTGACAGAGGAGAGGAGAGAGTGTTATATACTTGGTGAAAAACCTAAATATCTCTGATTTTTAAAGAGATTTTGAGAAGTGTGTGTGTCTCTTATGAGTCTCTTACCAGCAGACACTAGCACCACAGCCATGAAGAGGGCCATCTCGTCAGGCTGCAGGCCCAGAGCTCCCAGCTTCTCACTGAACTCAAACATGGCGTCCAGCAGAGAGCCCATACCCAGCGCCCGCAGGGACGTCAGAGGGTATGTCTGGCCGTTCAGGAAGGTCACAGTCTTCTCCTTGGGGTCGAATAGTGAGCAGAACCTGACCATCAGCACCTGGAAGGTGCCGGCCTTAAGCAGCATGACCTGGTCGTGCTGGCTGAGACTCTGGAACCCGGGGATGCTCTTGGCAAACTCCACCACCTCCTTGACGGCCGGGGTGAAGCACTGGGAGAAGGCGTCCCAGATCTGCTGGCTGGAACGGTCACGGGGGGCTACGGGACATGCATTCAGGGGACATGCCTGAGAGAGAGGGAGAGGGTTAGAATGGCTCTATGACACATGTATTGTACATATAGTAATACTATGTAGGTACATACTCAAGCGATTTAATGAGACTCACCAGAACTTTGGCACCTCCACTCAACTTCCAGGGGCAGGTGGTCTGGTTTTGAGACTCGCCGGCTGGAAAGGTGTTGTGATTGGCTTGGAAGGTCTTAGCGGACTGGCTGCCATTGGACATTGGGCATTGACTCTGATTGAATGATGGTTGGTATGTATACTGGGCGTTGTCAACATTGTTGTTGCGTGGGCAGCGAGAGGGGGTCTGGTAGCTTTGTGTGGGATGTGACTGGTACCCCTGAGAGGGGTTGGAATGGGAGTGGGTTTGGGGTGCGGGGTGAGCGTAGCCAGACTCATGTGCTGGATTGTTGCGGATGTTGTTGTTGTTGACGGCCATCTTGATTACTGGCTTCACATCCTCTTGGGCAAAGATGTTGCAGTAGGCAGAGGAAATGGACTCGCCAGGTTCTGGGCTGGCTGGGGCCTCAGAGGAAGAAGGGGAGGAGTCAATCTCCATGGATGCTGATTCGTTGAGGCTGTTCATGTAGCTCTGCATCTCGTCCAATAGCCTCTGCTTCTCACGCTTTGGGATACGCCCAAAACGCACAGCTGAGGAGAAGGAGGACAAGGGGAAAATAAGTTAATACAGATGGCAGTGACTGGAGCTGGTATAGCAGTGGCCTGTTACTTATCAGTCTAATTCAACCTTTACTGATTGGGAATGCAATCACTGTGTTGTATAATTACTGACTAATCCTACAGGGTAAAGAAAGCTGGGGGAGATTTTTCTCCACTCTCTATAACCAGTCTGTTTCAATTGACCATGAAATTACATGGTATACCACCCCAACCCCTTCATCTCCTCTCCTCATCCCCCTCTTCATCTCTCCAGACCTCCCATCCCCTTCTTTATCTCTCCAGACCTCCCATCCCCCTCTTCATCTCTCCAGACCTCCCATCCCCCTCTTCATCTCTCCAGACCTCCCATCCCCCTCTCCATAGCACACGTCCTCTGGCAAACCTATTTATAGTCTGCTACTGTAAGCTACACCCCTTCCCCCAATCTCTTTCCTGATCTCCCTCCCTCTTTCTACCACACCCCTCGCTCACTCTTGCTCTCTCGCTCCTCTGTGTTTCTGTTAAGCAACACAAAGTAGGTTACTGGGTCAGCTAGAGTAAACGTTGTCATTATGAGTGACAGAGTGAGGGAGGAGAGGTCAAAGTAGAGGAGAGGAAAGAGTGAGAGGGTAATAGGGTATGAGTAAAGGGGTGAAGGGGTAATGAAAACGTGAAAGAGAGTATCATGGGAGAGGGGGAATGTGAAAGGGTGAGGTAATTAGAGGATGATTGAATGAGAGTGAAAGGTAAAAAGCTGGAAAGGGAACAAGGGGTAGATGAGTGACATCAAATGTAGTTTTAAATGAATGCCTTTCATTCATAAAATGTAATCAGTATTAATGAAAATATCATATAGAGTGAAAAGGCCAAACGTATGCTTTGAGCTTTGTTGGGTAATTGGTGCAATGGTGGGTAATTTTCCTCCTCTCTAGCGTTTTCCTTTTATAGGTCACCTCAAAAGGTTTGCTCCAGAAAAGCAGATGATTTATTATCACCTAGTTTATAGATACCTCTGGAGGGTATGGTGGCCTGTAGGGAAATGATGCCATACAGGAGAGGGATGGAGCTGAGCCTCTAACTGTACCAACTGTACTATCCTCCAATAACATTCTAATAGTTTACCATTAGAACATGACCTATTAAATCCCTATATGTTATAGACTTTGCGGTAATACTTCTAATAGATGTGCAAACACATTCAACCTGACACGGAGGGTAATGAAGCGGCCTGTGGCCTAATTTCCTAAAATAAACCGTATTTGCCACAGTTTTCCCCATGACTGATGACTACTGGGACTCCCCAACTGCTTCTGTCATCAATCAGAAACTAAGGGCCAGAGGAGAGAAAAAGAGGGAGAGGAAGATAGAACAGAAGGAGAGATGGAGGAGAGAGAGCTGGGATGAGGTATGGAGGAGGTGTGACTGAAGAACAAGAATGAGGCTAGGTATAGATAGAATGTTCTCTTACCATCTCTGGACATGCCCACGTAGAGACACTTCTTGAAGCGGCAGTGCTGGCAGCGGTTGCGGTTCATACGCATGATCAGGCAGCTCTCATTCTTCACACACATCTTGTAGTGGATGTTCTGCTGGATGCTGCGGCGGAAGAAACCCTTGCAGCCTTCACAGGCGTGAACGCCGTAATGGAAGCCAGACGCAATGTCCCCGCACACCTTACACAGGAGCACCATGCCTCCTGTCTCTGTGAGGTAGACAAAAATATGAATGATTGGTTAGACATTATAATAGAAAAATAGAAGAAGAAAGAAAGCCAGTAGAAGTGGTACTTACTGGTGAAGGTGCCAGTGAAGCCACAGGGCCTCTTGGCCACCATAGGGTGGGCGTAGGTATTGCCAGAGGATGTAGTGGCTGTAGTGGCATTGGCTTCAGGGAACTGGAAGACTAGTTTGGGCGAGGGTCCTCCCCTGTTCTCCCCTCTTTCTCTCTTAAGAGGGCCGATCTCGGGGAAGGAGACAGGTTCAGGAGATGAGGGTTGGGAGTGGGAGGACCGGGGGGACTGGGTCTGGTACCCGCTGGAGGGGCTGCCAGGGCTGGGGCTGGCACTACCAGATGATCCAGCATACAGTATCACACCACCTGGAGGGCAAAGAGGAGAGGAGAGAGAGGGAGGGCAGTTAGTGTTACCATGTTACAAGGAAGCAGACATTAGGCTATGCTGTCAGCAAACTATCTGTGCAAAGATGTATAGATTAATATATATATATCTGTGTCGAAGGTAGGTAGGTCAACTAACAGATGAGTGTTGAGCAATAGGCACTTGAATGGGTTACCAAACATGAACACACCTCCTGCCTGAGGTCGACATTTAAACCACAACCAGTCTCAGAGAAGCTGGTAAAAGGTAATAGAAGGTCAGAATGTGTCGGGACAATGTCAAATCTAGCCTCAGGACCAAACAGATCTTTGTCAATAGTATTTTTCCAAAATGTGGATTTATAAGACTTTATCATTTTAGCTTTGATTAATTCAGTGTTAGATGTGGGACCTTGAATTTATACAAAAACAAAATAATTTAAAAAGTAATTGCTATATAAGTTGTGCTGCGCCTACTCAAAGTTCTAGAATGTTCCAAAGCAAGTTCGGTATGTAAACTCGGAAATGTCTCATAACTCCCTCCCTCTCCCCATCTCTCTACCCCTCCCTCCCTGTAAAGATTGTGTTCTGTGTACAATAAGAGCGACAGCCCCTCACGTGTACACTCAGCCAGCCAGCTGCCTCCTCGCGCTAACAGCAAGCCTTGCTTTTCCCCGTTGGCGCGCCCAGAGCTTGCTCAAACTTCCTGCCACCCGACCGCCGACTCACATGGACTCCTGACACACAAGGCACTTTCCACAGTCCCGTGTAGACAACAGCCGCAGTACAATAACAGGCAGCTGAGAGCTCACTGTTGAAAGAGAGGGCTTACGTTTGAAAGAGAGGGCCGCTACTGTGTGTATGGCATTCCACTGGGGGAGGGTGGGGGTAGCTTATCTGGATGATGAAAAACCGGTTTTCATATAATTTCAGTCAGCCTTAACTGTTTTCAATACAGGGCAAACCCATCATTGTGCTATCTGAAACAAATGTGCAATTCAATAGCAATGACTCCCAATTTTTTGACTCAGTCTTTTTCATGTTTCCCCCTTTATTTAAGGTCCTATGAATTCTCTATGAAACATCATGTAGATCTGCCTGCCTCATGCCTCCCCTGTGTTTCTCTCTCTGCTGGAGGAGACAAATGCTGCTGGCTGGGAATTTCTGTTTAGCTTAAAGTGAGTGTGCCTGTCTATAATTCCTCTGCCAGCACGTGCCAACACTGACTGTGATAACTCTGCTGGGGCTTCACTGTTTGCATGTGGCAGTGCTTCCCCTCTACCTGAAAGGTCTGACTTTAAATTCACCCCCACCCCCTCCATTGACACACACGCTCACAGTGTGTGTGTCAATGGAGGGGGTGGGGGTGAATTTATAGTCCTGAGCTGTTGGTTTGGTTTCCATTGTCAAGTGGCAGCCCAGTGAGGGGGACCTGACCCCTGGCCTTCTCTATGGCAGAGACAGTGTAATTCACCAGAAACCTGAGCCTGGCCAGGTGGCTCGAGTAAAAGCCCCTCCCTGGAGCACTATGCTATGACACAGGTGGGGTAGGGCTGTATGACTCAGAGCTAGGATAAACAAATAGACAGCAACTAACCCCTCCTTATTCCCTCCGCCTCTCATGGGAGTCCCACCCACCCTTAGGGTATAGAAGAGAAGGGAGACAGCCAGGTGACGTGTGTATACTTGGCCGTGAGTCATGAGACCGGTGGGAAAACACTCAGCTTGGACTGAAATGTATATCTTTCAAACCAAATATGCATTTGATTGTATTTACCTCTAACCCTAATCAAGACCAAATAGCTCATAAATAATATTGTAATTCTGTCATTTCTAACATGTCAATCTAGTGACTATCGGTTTAGTTTATTGAAAGGCAAGCCCACATCCCTTACCATCCGACAATCAGGTTTCTGAGTTCTCACCTTCCACCCTGTAGTCACATAGTTATAATGGTAATTTAACCACTGCTTTTGTGGAACCGCTGTACTCTGTCACTAAGGTTGAGGTCAGCTTTAACTCCAGTGCTTTGTGGGAAGTCAGATAAATGGTCATGGCTCATGTCGGGTGAGGTGACTCGTGTGTGAGCTAATCTGATAGTGGGTTGGCTGGAGGGGAGTGCCCAGCAACGTGAGTCCTCCTCTCCCCCCAGTCACACCCTTGCCCCCCCCTCCCTCTCGGGGACCCTTATTCACTCCCTCCCTTCCTTCTTCCCTCCAGACATTCCAGACACTGCCTCCTCGTCTAATCTATAATCTCATTGGCCTTCATTTGTAAGTGTTTGGTGGGTTACATTGAAAGGGTAAATGTATAAATAAATTACAGTGAATAAGACTGATATTCTAAGAGGTGAACCACTGGTTATACACACAATTACATTGAACAGCAGTAGAAAAATAATGATATATTGTCCAGTTACTCATATAAACTGCCCATCAGGCTCGGATGATTGACAGAATAGCAGTCTATGCAATTATTGGCGGAAGTAGTAGGGCAATATAACAATTAGTGCATCTTGGAGTAGAAGCCTAAAAGATACTTTATGACATAGTAAACAGTGGACTTTGATCCACCATATAAACTATATTATAAATATAGGCCAGCCTAACCTCCAACCTGAATTTTGAGAATTTGAATTTGCTACTTGTCAGGGTAATTTGTGATATTGGTGAGTGAACCATCACTACAATGTATTCTCAACATGTGACATTTTGCCTATTGATACAATGTATTACAAATGTATCACAATATCAGCTATATTGAATATACTGTATATAAAACTATTCAGTTGTCTATCCGAATTAAAATATATTGGCGTAAAGAAATAAACATTAAACTAGTGAATAGGGTGCTAAAACATTCTGACTCATTGACCAAATTCTGGCAGCAGCAAAACAGAGTTCCCGGAAAAACTGTGAGTAGGAGTTCCCGGAAAGGCTGTGAGTGAGCGAGAGGAGCGCGCAAGGGAGATGAGAAAACTGAAGGCGAGGGTGGGAATCACGCGCTGCACGTGGATGCTGAGGTTTATGCACGTGATGTCGGCTCTAGACAGGCAAGGTGGGAACTCGGGTAAATCAGGCGCATGATGCCGACCATTATCAGACTGTTGCCATGCAAATAATAGCTCAGATACTTATTAGACTTGAGAACATGGCTGTAAATAGGGGACTAGGTCATTCAATATCAATGCCACTGTCACATTCCCTGCTGTCTTCGGGAAAATATATTTGGCAATTGAGTTATTCCAGCCTCAAATGTGTAATAACGAGCGTCTGCTAAATGACTAAAAAAAATGTAAAAAATGTAAATGTAATTGCCTCATATTATCGATGGAACCTGACTCAAAATGCAATTATTATCTATTGAATTATTATTAATGCAATTTGAATATCTTTAACTTTCGAATATTGAGTGGTAAATTGTGTCACCTAGTAGGTTTACAGGGATTCCCTTTATATGGGAACCCCCTCCTGCCCATATTGTGACCTGCCATAGAGATTATTCACTGCTATGAATTCATGGACTATGGAGGCCAACTTGGTCAACATATCAGTTGAAATAAAGGTTGAACACTCCCCATTACTGAGAGTTGGCTAGTGGTCATCATTCCACTGACGCCAATGACCCACTAGCCGATAGGATATGTTTGGCACCCAAACATATGCATATATTGAAATGAATTTAGGGTAATTCATATTTGCATGACTACTTTTTGTATTCCATATCTTGTATATCTTGTTATATTTTATATTGGTAAAAATGTTTTGACTGTAGCTCTGCTTGTGCGTGCAGTAGATCAGGGAAGATAATATTTCATGATAGAACAGTTTTTGTTACCAATTCACCACCTACTCAATTTGGTCCTGGCTTGAATAGCTGTTAACTGTTCAAATTTGGCCTTCATGTCAGGACCAGCTCTTTTAAAAATTGTTTTGGCTCACATGTCTATTGAATAGGCGTGATAGGTCCTTGGCACACGTGATGAGAAAGTGATGATGCACAGCAGCACTGAACAAGCTTGGGGAGACACCAGTCAGGTAGCGTGACCAGTTCTGTAAATGTGTCACAGACCATAAACACGCAATCTCAGGTCAAAGAGAAGAAACACCTTTCTGGAGTAGTGCAGATGAAAGGATTCGAATGGTTTTGGTTTTTCCCACGTAATCCGGTTTGATTCAATTACGCCAATAATTCTCAACTCTCCAAGCCAAGGCAACTTTAAGGACTGAGCGCAAAAGAGAACCAAAGTTGTTCCAAATTATGTAAAAGTAACAATGTATCCCTAAAAGAAGATTGTATGATTAGAAGCTGACACCAAATCAATGAAGGAATAGTCACATGAAGTGCAGACCAGCACTTGCAGGCACCAGAGACTGACAGAGCGTGTAAAGTGGGACCGGTACCGCACGTCAGTTTGTTGTTTACATGCAGGGAATCAGGAAGTAGCAGTCAGCTCAATCGCCGCAAAATAGCAAAGATTGTGGCATGCCATACGACAACCCACTCCCTCAATACCCTGAGCATCACTCACATTAGCCTTCATCCAAAAACACACTTGGCATTAAAACTTAGATTTGGCCAATCTATCTTTGACGATATAGCAACAAAATGATACTAACGCCAGTATTAAGATATAGTTAACAAAACCTTGTTCATAGCAGGCACTGAGCATTATCAGTGCGCATCTAAAATTGTTCCCTTATGGGATAGTAATCGCAATTCCAGATAGTTTCTATCTTATTATCTCCAATGTATACTACTATTAAAATATTTAACAAAAATAGGTCACCTAAAACCTTACCTATTACATGATAAAAACTAAATACGCGAAATATAATCTTTCCAATAACTCACCGAAGTAACATTTCACTTAAAATGGAGGGATGTATTGCAAAATGAAATAGCAAAAATGTTATTATAGTGGGAAAAATGGGTTAATATGTGGACATCGGAGGGTTGGAGTTAAAAACAGAATGAATGGTGTATTGGCCGCTGTGGGTGAAAATCCAGCACTTGCAGAAAAAGGAAATTAGGAATGTATGTATAATTAGTTAACTACTGTTTATGTGAGCGAAAATAGCTATTAGTAGCAGTAGAAGACATATTGTCCGCCAAAGGTATGGTAGGGTTGGGGGGAATACAAAAAAAAATATTTTTATTTTTATGATGCAAACAATTAATTTGATAGAACCCTAAATCTATCTCCAATATTTAAAAAAAGAAATAGGAAAAAAATAATCGACATTCATTTATTCAGTAATCTGGATATGCTGTGTAGCCTCGGGCAATACATGTTTATGACATTATCAATGAACTCATTACCATTACGCACGGTATATATACCAATACACAGTGAAGGAATATGCCCAAACAGTACACATTACATTTATTCAGTAGTATTAATTGACAAGTAGTGTATTAGCAAATGCATTGATGTTTTAGCCTACAACTGACAATAGCATAGATTGGTTATAACTTGGCAATGAAACTCACCAGGGCTGTTGTCCATGTTTTCGGGTATTTGGTTGATTTTAAATGGTACTGGAATTATTAAATGTTGGTTTGTCTCTTGCGTCAAGTAGGAATTTCGTTGATATAGGTGAAATAGTCATGAACCGCCAAGAAAGCATAGAGCGGGTATCCCAATAAGAGCAATGAGACCGTATGCAGGTCATTGGGGGTCCATCAAACCCGTCAAGTGTGGAAACAAATCGAAACTGATTTAAAGATCAGCAAAACCTAAACAGGTATCGTTTGACGAAATGGTTACAAATCGTCTCCAAGGTGCGTAATTCAGTGCCTTTGCTGTCTCTAGCCTGCTTCGCTTGGTGTTCGTAGGTCGTGTGATGTACAGTAAACTATCACTGTAACATAACAAGCATTCTTTGAAAATAAATTCCAAGCATTCAGCTTTAGTGCCAGTCAGTCACCATGAACATCTCCAAAGTCAAAAGTGTGAAAGAAGTTTAAGCACACCCACCCACTAATAGGCAATACACCGCGCCCACACTACACCAGCACGTTTTCAGGTGTCTGAGAAATGTGACCAGTTTTTTTTTGTCCCTTCAACCTCTGTTTTGTATGACAAGGATTACTCTCACACTCGCTCTTTCTCTGACTGCCTCTGTTACGCTCTAGAGTATCTCATCCCCCACCCTCCCCTCCTCTCAATCGTTATTCGTTCGCACGTCTTCATTGGTGGAGAGCTAGAGTGGAGGCGAAACAGTTGGACTGTCGACATTTGGAACGCTGGTAAAGCACCGTTGCATGTGCGCGCGGCATGTGAGCCGCGGAGCCTGGTGTCCTACTGACACACATTCTATGCAAATATATGAGGCCTTGTGATAAGAAGGGTGGACGGAGAGGGGGCTAGCACATGGGAAGTAGGCGGAGCTCACCGTGCTGCCGCTCCCCTCCATCCCTCCACCTCTTTATCACGTTCTGCCTTCAGAAGCGATTCGTTTTTTCCTAGATTCTCAGCATCGGAAATTGGCATGAATCGTGGTGGGAATGTGGGTCAACATCAATTATTTGAGAGAAAACACATCAAACAGCAAAGCTTTCTTATGCAAAGCTTTCCTCATGGGAATCCCGAGTGCCCATGTTTTCGGCGGATAGACACGGATTTGAATGTAGGTCGTTGGGCTCTGCTGGAGGGGCTCTTAGTACGTGCACCTCATGTTTTATTATCATATAGGCTAATAGTTTTTGAATAAAGAAGTCGTGAAGAGTGACGCAGCTGCTCTAGCCTACACCTAGGTTATAACACATTATTATACAATTGGGTCAAATGGGGCTGTGTGTGTTATGTTCTCTTTGGCAGCTGGTTAGATTTGGTCAATGCTGATAGGCTACTAGACGTCGTCACTTTTAAACCTTGTGAACCCAGCATGGGTAGCCAATGACACGACAGCCAGAGCGTCAGAGCATGTCCTCACGTGTTTTTCGTAATGAAGCATCACCACTCTGTTGTGGAGTTCACTGCGCCGTAGTTCACTCCTGCTGGCCAAACTTTATGATTTAGCAGGGCAGTAGGTGAATTCTATATGCGTCATATGGCACAAGCTTTAGACCACGTTGTTTCCGATTCAAGAAACGTGTATAGTCATACATCATTATCATGTTTCAGACGTTGGTCATATATGCCGCGTTCAAGTACTAGTCGGAACCAGGAAACTCGGAAATTTCCGACTTGATAACTGGTTGTAGTTATACGCGTGCCGCGTTCAACCAGTTAGCAAGTCGGAAATGTCCTAGTTTCCTAGTTCCGACTAGTACCTGAACGCGGCATTAACCACACATGAAACTGCACCCTTTAGGCATTAATGCGCAATTACGCACAGAATGACACGAGGGTTATAGAGTTTACAGTAATTTTGTAACTATTTATATTAACTGATTCAGAGTGGGTAAATTACACATTCATAAGCACAACATAAGGGCATAACATTCATTTTAATGGAACATCATAGAAGTTTGACGGATTTTGATGTGACAAAGTTGCTTGGTTATGACACACTTGACCAAAACGGAATGGTATCCATATTGTTATATATGACCTCTCTTTATGATATTGAATATATGCAATACAGATATAGGCTACACTGTCTGTTAATCAAACGCCACCATTAAAAACTGTAATTCATTAATATTTTATAATTCGTTATGTAGCAGTTATGTACTGTGCCTATAGATGTGTAATTCATTATGAATATGAGAGTTCATATGAATCGAGAAATGTTTCGGTAGTTAAATAAATTGCAGTTAGGCTAATCACATTTAATCAGTTATTGCAGTTAACCACTGAGATACCTACTGCAGCCCTCATCCTCCACATACAACACCCGTTCTGCCAGTCACATTCTTTTAAAGGTCCCCAAAGCACACACATCCCTGGGTCGCTCCACTTTTCAGTTTGCTGCAGCTAGCGACTGGAACGAGCTGCAAAAAACACTCAAACTGGACAGTTTTATCTCCATCTCTACATTCAAAGACTCAATCATGGACACTCTTACTGAAAGTTGTGGCTGCTTCGCGTGATGTATTGTTGTCTCTACCTTCTTGCCCTTTGTGCTGTTGTCTGTGCACAATAATGTTTGTACCATGTTTTGTGCTGCTACCATGTTGTGTTGCTACCATGTTGTTGCTACCATGTTGTTCTGCTGCCATGTTGTGCTGCTACCATGTTGTTGTCATGTTGTGTTGCTACCATGCTGTGTTGTCATGTGTTGCTGCCATGCTATGTTGTTTTCTTAGGTCTCTCTTTATGTAGTGGTGTCTCTCTTGTCATGTTTTGTCCTATATTTTTATTTTATGTTTTATTTTTAATCCCAGCCCCCATCCCCGCAGGAGGCCTTTTTCCTTTTGGTAGGCCGTCATTGTAAATAAGAATTTGTTCTTAACTGACTTGCCTACTTAAATAAAGGTTAAATAAAACAATTATAAAAAAACCACAACGACGTACAAGAATGGCACAAAATTAATGATTAATAGAATGTTAGTCATTATTTTCATAGCTCAGTGTGTATACTGTAGGCCTATAATATACACTGAACAATAATATAAACGCAACATGCAACAATTTCGAAGATTTTACTGAGTTACAGTTCATATAAGGAAATCAGTCAATTGAAATAAATTCATTAGGCCCTAATCTATGGATTTCACATGACTGGGAATACAGATATGCATCTGTTGGTACAGACACCTTTAAAAAAAATTAGGGGCGTGGATCAGAAAAACAGTCAGTATCTGGTGTGACTAAATTGCTCTGGATAAGAGCGTCTGCTAAATGACTAAAATGTAAATGTAAAATGTGTGACCACCATTTGCCTCATGCAGCACACATCTCCTTTGCTTAGAGTTGATCAGGCTGTTGATTGTGGCCTGTGGAATGTTGTCACACTCCTCTTCAATGGCTGTGCGAAGTTGCTGGATATTGGCGGGAACTGGAACTCGCTGTCGTACACGTCGATCCAGAGCATCCCAAATATGCTCAACCGTGACGTCTGGTGAGTATGCAGGCCATGGAAGAACTAGGACATTTTCAGCTCCCAGAAATTGTGTACAGATCCTTGCATGATCATGCTGAAATATGAGGTGATGGCGGCGGATGAATGGCACGACAATGGGCCTCAGGATCTTGTCATGGTATCTCTGTGCATTCAAATTGCCATCGATAAAATGCAATTGTGTTCTTTGTCCGTAGCTTATGCCTGCCCATACCATAACCCCAACGTCACCATGGGGCACTCTGTTCACAACGTTGACAGGTGAAGAAACTGGATGTGGAGGTCCTGGGCTGGCGTGGTTACACGTGGTCTGCGGTTGTAAGGCAATTTGGACATACTGCCAAATTCTCTAAAATGACTTGGAGACGGCTTATGGTAGAGAAATTAGCATTCAATAGCTCTAGTGGACATTCCTGCAGTCAGCATGCCAATTGCACTCTCCCTCAAAACTTGAGACATCTGTGGCATTGTGTTGTGTGACAAAACTGCACATTTTAGAGTGGCCTTTTATTGTCCCCCGCACAAGGTGCACCTGTGTAATGATCATGCTGTTTAATCAGCTTCTTGATATGCCACATCTGTCAGGTGGATATATTATCTTGGCAAAGGATACATGCTCACTAACAGGGATGTAAACAAATTTGTGCACAAAATTGGAGAGAAATAAGCTTTTTGTGCTTATGGAAGAATTTGGGGATCTTTTATTTCAGCTCATGAAACATGGGACCAACACTTTACATGTTGCTTTTATATTTTTGTTCAGTATATATGCTGTTTCACCAAATGTAGCCTATAGTTGCGAGGGATTACTTATTGGGGCGTATTTGTAGGGTCATCATAAATTTGTTTTCCTGACCATGCCCAGGGACTACTTTGGGCTGGTTATAGGCTGGGCTATGAGATATACATAGACACATGTTGCTCTCTCTCTCTCTCTCTCTCTCTCTCTCTGGTGGACTGACTCTCTACCCCTTCTCCCTGAAGTGGGCAATTCTTGTCCCCTTCATGGATTTAAAGCATTGGATTGGTGTAGGGCTAGATGGAGCTGGATTGGTGTAGGGCTAGATGGAGCTGGATTGGTGCAGGGCTAGATGGAGCTGGATTGGTGTAGGGCTAGATGGAGCTGGATTGGTGCAGGGCTAGATGGAGCTGGATTGGTGTAGGGCTAGATGGAGCTGGATTGGTGCAGGGCTAGATGGAGCTGGATTGGTGCAGGGCTAGATGGAGCTGGATTGGTGCAGGGCTAGATGGAGCTGGATTGGTGCAGGGCTAGATGGAGCTGGATTGGTGCAGGGCTAGATGGAGCTGGATTGGTGTAGGGCTAGATGGAGCTGGATTGGTGCAGGGCTAGATGGAGCTGGATTGGTGTAGGGCTAGATGGAGCTGGATTGGTGCAGGGCTAGATGGAGCTGGATTGGTGCAGGGCTAGATGGAGCTGGATTGGTGTAGGGCTAGATGGAGCTGGATTGGTGTAGGGATTAACTGTAGTTGTCTTGTTCAATGGAAACAATTACATGTGTTATAAATATATTTCTTACAGCAGTTCATTCCTTTTCAATCCACGAGGGGGAGTGAATCAGTGCACATTTCAGGGAAGGGTATAAATTGACCCTTGCCATTCTCTACATTGGGAAGCAAGTTGGAATTCCTACAGCATTGGGCAGTTTATCTTTCTGATTCTAGGTTGCTGTTGGCAAATAAAAACAGAAAATAAGTAGGCCTACTGTACAACAAGCAGTAGGCCCTACTGGAGTATTCAGAAACAAAATATTGTGTTGTCGTTTTTGCGTGTTTTTGTGACTGATTGTGTGTTGGGTAATGGAATGTGTTGTGTCTGTGGTGTCCATCACGTTGTTTTCATTCTTTTTTTATGGTGTAGTGGAGTCTTATTTATTCTATTGTCAGTCTGTTGCCTTAGTTTCTTCTTTGGAGAGTCTGGATGTGAGTTCCTTGACTTTGTGGGATTAGTGTTTTTACTGTTTTCCAAATGTGGTGTTTGTGCTTTTGAAGATGTTGGTATGTGTTTTGTGTGTGTGAGTTATCAGTATGTTGATTGATTAGCAGCCTCTGTTGTGTCTGAGGGTGTTTTTTACATGTTCGGATTATTAATAAAGATGTCAGGATAAGTGACGCAGATGCTTTACACCAAG